GCCAGGTTTGTTCAGAAGCCCGTAGTGAGCGGGGAGAAGAGAGTGTTCTTGGGTCAGTGGGACTCAGCTGCTCCTGTGGCAGGGATGCTGTTCTCCCACCTCCTGTGAATGGGCTGTGGTGTGGGCCAGGAAAGGACAGTCGTCATGGTTTTGTGATGTTCCATTCTTTTCCACCCATCAACAGAAACAACTCAAAAGGAGTGAGGTTACTGCTGGGAGGTTAGTTTGGGGGAGTTGTAGGGGCGTTCGCCGGTAGCAATTGGAGACACAGAGCTATGTGTTCCCCAGGCGTTGACCGTGGCCAGCTGGGGCATGGTTTTGTGACTTCAAGATCACCATAGATTTTGGAGGAGGTAAACCTTATAGATTGTTTACCAACCCCAGCCTCATTGAGCCTCTGTGAGGTATAAAGGAATCTTTGCACCTTAGAGACTGCACACAAGGCAGTAGACTCTCAATGATTGAGGTTGCCAGATTGAACCAAATTTTAAAAATAGAGGGTGACCAGTGAATTTCAGATGCACAATCGATCATTTTTTGTATAAGTGCATCCTAAATATTTGCATGGGATGTATTTAAAGTAAACAACTCTTCATGGTTCATCTGAAATTCAAAGCTAATTGAGCATTTGGGGCCCACCCTGTTTGGCTCGGCATTTTTACCCACGAGGGTAAAACTTCCATCCTACACTTTTCTACTCCAAGCTTCCATCGACACATATTGGAAGAAGTCTTCTCTAGACATCTTGGAAAATACCTATCTGAACAATTTTGAAGAGGTCTATTCTTCAAGGAGAGCAAAAGGATTATAGAGGCTCCTGCATTTACTTTTGATGTGTAACTTTGGGTGTGTCATGAGGAAATTATTTTAACTATATTCTCTTCTATTTTCTCTATTGCATGCTAAATGTATTAAAGTTCTTTTTTATTGAAGCCCTTATGCACTAGTATATGCTTTGTCTTTATGCAGTGGATGGCAGAACCTATTTTGAGTAGGCAGGTTTGGGGTTCCTGGGGTGCCCCTCATTTTACCCACTAACATTTCCACAGCACTTAGGTTATAGTGCTTGATCAACTGGATGAATGAGTGAGTGACTGAACACACAGTCCTAACCTCTGTGCTGAGAGATGGGTAGTTTGATTTCAGCTAATATGGTCAATTGCTGTTAGAGGGTATAGGGGTGAAGGGGAACATTTCTCACTCCCTCTGAAATTCTTCTCAGACTGGTCCGGTAAAAGAAGGAATGTCAGACAGATTGGGAGGAGAAAAAGAACAAATGTAGTTACATACACTTGGAGAAATTATATGGCTGTCAATTCTAAAGTAAATTGGGGTGTACTGAGGTTTCTTTTTCTTGAACTAATTAATGGGATAGTGGCCTGTAGGGGAGCAAAAATCTTCCACCCCAAAATATGACACTGTAATAGGTTTGGTTCATGGGAGGGGCTCTGAGAGCTGGTGGATTTTCTTGTGATGTTTATATCTAAACTTCTGTCTTTTCCGCAAGACATCTCTTTTCAATGGAGAAAGCAGAAGTACCTTTGTTTTCCCCAGTAAGTGCCCTAACTGACTTCCCCTTTTGTCACTCAACCTCCCTTGCCTCAGCTAAGCTATTTAAGATGGCATCTAAAGGCACATGGATGAATTACCCAGTCGTGCTCATGTACACAGGAGGCGTCCATGTTATTGTTAAACTTCCCTAAGCTTGTTTCTCATATCAATCTGTCTGGTACTGGTTTGATTATTTGCCAGCCTAGAATAACCCAGAGGGGTCTGGGATGTGCACTAATGTGCCCATCAAGGAAAGAAGGTCACATGTGATGGAAGAGGGTGACTCATGACCAAGACGGATGTTCTAGATGTTTTTTCTGCCATCAGATAAGTTCCTCCAATAAACTACCTTTGGTGTTTGTCCTTGTGAGAACTTCCATCCTAAATTTTTCTACTCCAAGCTTCTATCAACACATATTGGAAGAAGTCTGCTCTAGACATCTTGGAAAATATCTATCTGAATAATTTTGAAGAGGCCTATCCTTCAAGGAGAGAAAAAGGATAATAGAGGCTTCTGCATTAATGGCTCATAGCCCCTTCTACTATAGAGCTTGGTAGGCTGAATAACGTCCCTCCATACATGTCAGTATCTTAATCCCCAAAACCTGTGAATATGTTAGTGTGCGACCAAGGGGTACCCAGAACCCCAAACTGTTAAGGGGTGCATGCTCTAAAAGGGATCCTGCATCCATATTCACAAAAGCAAATAAAGCAGATTCTTAGTGTGAAATATCTTTAGTAGAAGTAGTTTGCAGAGAGACAGACAGAGAGAGAGAGAGAGAAAGAAAAGGACATTCCTAATAAAACTCAGAAAATCACCCAAACCCTTGTGGGCAAATGCCCAGCCAAAAGGCTCCACCCAAGTGGGGCTACTGAGGTCCAAGAGCTTGCCACAAATATAAGGTATCTTCTGGCAAAGATCCAAAATAGTGGCTGCCACTGTCTCTACCAAGGACCAGGGCCAGCCTTCCCACATGTCCCCCGCCCATGTGTCTCTTTTGAGAGCCTTTTCCAAGTGTTTTTTCATGTCTCTCTTCCACATGTGTCCATCAGCTCCCTAGGTACAAGTCAAAACTGGAGAAGCAGGAGGAGAGGCCCACCTGACTTTCAGTCTTACACGGTTACCTGGCCATGCTCCACCCCTGGATCCCAGGAGCTCCCCCACTCAGAAAGTCCAGTCCACAGCATATGGGGACTTGTAATTCTAAGTGGAGTGTAAGTGGGGGTGGAGAAAATGGTGCCTTCCCTTCACAGAGGGGTACCTGTAACAAATATGTTACATGGCAAAAGGGACTTTATAGTTGACCCTCAAGGTAAGGATCTTGAGATTCAAGGTAAGGATCCGGATCCCCCAGATGGGTCAAATGCAATCACAAAGGTCTTTCAAAGAGGGAGGTGGGAGGGTCAGGAGAAAAGACAGTGGCTGACAAATGACAGAGACTGGGAGATGCTGCACTGCAGATCCTGAGGATGGAGGAAGGGGCTATAAGCCAAGGAATGCAGGGGTCTCAAGTAGCTGGAAAAGGCAGGGAAATGCATTCTCGTCTGAGGCATCCAGAAGGACTGCAGCTCTGTCAATCTATTTTAAACTTTTGCTCTCCAAAACCCGAAGACAACACATTTGTGTTGTTTTAAGCCACTAAGTGGTCACTTGTTATAATAACAATAATATAATAGGAAAACAATACAAAGGGGGTATAAATGATAAAGAGATGTTTTGGTGAATAAGAGCCTGCCCAGCTATGAGCAGTCCCGCAGGGATTTTCATGGGACTGCTAATAAGGACAAGGAGAGGAGGGACTGACAATACAGAGATGGGCAGATTTTCAAGCTCTAAGAGCATGAGTGTAGTAATCTGTTAGGGTTGCCATCACAAAACACCACAGACTGGGAGGCTTGAAAAGCAGAAATTGATTTTCTCACAGTCTGGAGGCTGGAAGTCCAAGATCAAGATGTCTGCTGGATCGCTGGCCTCTCTTCTTCGCTTGAGTAGCCTCTTCACCATGTCCTCACATGCTCTTTCCTCCATGCGCACACAGCCCTTGTATCTGTGTCCAAATGTCCTCCTCTTACAAGGACACTGGTCAGATTGAATTTTCCCCAGGATTAGAGGTTCAATATATGAATTTGGGGGTGGACGCCATTTAGCTCCCAATGGAGGAACAGCACAAAATGGGGTCTGCAAATGGAGGAACAGTCTACAAAACAACCGGTTGGTGCTCCAGATTGGAGACTCGGGCCCTGTGTGACTCAGGACATGTGACAATTCAATGCAATGCAAAGGGGTTGGGATTGGATGCCAGACTGGAAAAAGGGCTTTTGCACTACTTGGTATGTGGTTTGTAGATTAGGTAACAGTATTGCTTCAGGGTTTGTGTCCTTGTTTAGATAATTGTGCTATGGTTATGGGAGTCGTCAATATTTGCAGACGCTTGGGTGACAGGTATATGGGAACTCTGGACTATGTTTGCAAATTATTTAACGTCTGGAATTATTTCAAAATGCGAAGTTAATAAAGTTAAATGAAACGGGGTAAGCAGATAGCAGAGAAAGCGAGGGAGCGAGAGTGGAGCACAGGGAAGCAGGAGGTAGAGAATTGGCTGTGACAACTGTTTAGAGTCCTAAAGACCCGCTGCTTCTGACAGAATCTGGGCCATCACCACTGCACCCACCTCACATCCTGATTTTTAACTTCTAGCCCTATTGCATGTGTTGAACACACTGTGGTGGGGTGCGGCTGGGGTCAGGGCCGTGTGAAACACCCCACCATTTTGGTAACTACACATCCTCTTTCCAACACCTCTCTCCTTTCCGAAAGCAGATAATTCACCATTTTGAAGTGCACCAGCCAATGGCTTTTAGTATGTTTACAAAACCATGCGACCATCACGCCTGCACACAGAACATTTTCATCACCCCAAAGAACCCCTCCCCCAGTGAGCTGTCAGGTCCCCTCTCCCCGCAAACGTCCACTCTCCCTGACAGCCAAGAGTCCACTTTCGGTCTCTACGGATTTGCCTCTTCTGCTATTTCATGCAAACGAAATCCTGGGTCCAGCGGTCCAGCCACCTCCCCGAGGCTCGGCCCCCGCCGTGGGCTGTGGCCACCAGGATTGGACGGCGCGGCCTGGGTGTGCGCCGGGCGCCCAATCGCTCCTGCGCGCCCGGAGGAGGCAGGTGCCGGCGGCGGGGAGGCCGGGGCGCGGGCCCGGGAGCCGGCCGCGAGGGGAGGGGCCGCGGCGGCCGGGGGCGAGGCCGGGGGGCCGGCCCGCGGGGAGCCCGGAGCCCGCCGGGCCCGAGGAGGGGCCGGGGGCGGCCGGCGGGCGTGGTCCTGCGAGCGGGTCGGCGGAGGGGCCGGGCGAGGCCCGGGGAGCGCGCGCGGGGCGCAGAGGGGCCGCGGCGGGCGAGCCGGGAGCGGTGCGGGCGGCTGGCGTGCGCCCCGGCGCGGGCATGGCGAGCTGGTGGCGGGCGCTGCCGCGCGCGGCCCGGCGCTACCCGTGGCCCGCAAACGTGGTGCTCTACGCCGGCCTCTTCTCGGCGGGCGACGCGCTGCAGCAGGGGCTGCGGGACGCCCCTCCCGACTGGCAGCAGACGCGGCGCGTGGCCACCCTGGCCGTGACCTTCCACGCCAACTTCAACTACGCGTGGGTGCGGCTGCTGGAGCGCGCGCTGCCCGGCCGCGCGCCGCGCGCCGTCCTGGCCAAGGTGCTGTGCGACCAGGCGGTCGGCGGGCCCGTGGCCATCTCTGCCTTCTATTCTGGTGAGGTGCCAGAGGGGGGCAGGATACCCAGGGTTGGGGGACCAGAGGCAGAGGTCTGGGGTCCAAGGGGTTGGGTGGAGATTGGCGAGGTCAGTGATGGGTAGGTGCGAAGGTCTGGGAGTGGGGAGTGGGGGGGTTGGGGCCCAGACAGGTGCCGGGAACTATGGGGTGGGCTGCAGGGAGGTTGGGGGGTATTGGGGTTGCGGGAGTTCAGGGGACCAGGAAAAGCGAGGATGAGGGGCTGAGAAATCTGGGGGCCAGGGATTAAGAGGGTGTTGAGGGGTGGTGACTGCAGCGGTGGAGAACTAGGGTGCCAAGGTCCAGCAGGTCAGAGATCCAGGGGGCTAGGGTCGCAGGTGGGACACTAGGTTTGTGCAAAATCGAACTGGAGATTGCAGGAGGCCTGGGATGCTAGTGGAAGGGGCGAAGGCAGGGTTGGGAGTCACTTTGCCTCTAAAAAAGACCCTCTGGGTTGTCGGAGATAACCCAGCTCCACACCATGGCAACTGCAAACCCTGTGAGCTCGTTGTGGGGATGGAGTCGACATGCTCCTTGGAAAATCCATTCCTGGGCTTGGGACCTCCCTTCCACTGGCGGACACCCCATTCCAACACACGAACAAAATGTGAGGGAACCGGTGATCAGAGCATCAGAGCAGGTCAGGCCTGGTTTCCTGGGAACTTGGTGCTCAGGGCCCTGATCCTGCTTTGGCAATGAGATTTTCCTTCAGGAGTCCCATACCCTGTCAAAACCCACAGAAAATGTGAGGAGGTTTGGACCCCTGTCATGGAGGAACCTATAGCTTTGGGGATCTCTTGAGCCCCCTCCTAAGAAAATCTACCCCATATCCCGAGGACCTGATTTTAGGGTTTTGGCAACAACTCCTAAAATCCAAAAGCAATGGAAGTGCTCTTCTGTGGACTGGAAGGGAGCCAACTGGGGAGGGACCCCAACTCCCTGAAAAAACCAGGGGTCTCTGACCTAGCCTTGGTTTGAGGGTGGTTCACCGATTTGCTCCAAGAGAGTTTCTCTGTCAGTGGCTGGTGGAGCTTCTACACCAAGTTGAGGTGGTCAGGCCACTGCCTTGAAGAAGCTTAGACTGCCTATGGATCTTTTTTGGGGGAACTTTTTCCCACAGTAAACATGAAGGACCGCTTCCTAAAGATCCAGTCTCAGCCATACTATCTGTCTGCAAACAGTTTACCAGATCTGCAAACATGTTCCTCAGCTTGTTATTAGATAAATGGGTTGAGAGCTAGGGACTGGGAGTTTGGGCACCAGCTTCCTGCTTACTTCTGGGACAACCCGGTGAGCAGGTCCTTTTATTATTCCATGTGACAGGTGAGGAAACGGAAGCTCAAAGGGATTTAGCAACTTGCCCAAAGACAACATGGTCCCTTTGGGGTGAGTTATCAGTAGGCCTGAAACCAGAAAGATGCTGTGGGAACAGGCCCCAGATTCCTGCACAGATTGCTTCTATGTTTTGCTTTTCAGATTTCTGGCCCAGTCTCCTGCATGTTCAAACGGAGGGAGCAGGATGGGGTGTTTGTTCAAGGCATTTCTGACTTGGAAATTGTCTAAATCAGATGACCTTTTGTGTTGGAGAAGCCACAGTAGTTGTGATAAAGAGGTCTGGCTCAGGAATTCACACCTGGCTTGGACTTGGCCCCTATTAACCTCTCTGGGCAATTTCCTCCTCTGTTATACCAACTTCAGCAGTTTGCTTGTGTCAGTTGAAATAAGGCACATAAAGTGCAAAGCACTTAATTAGTGCTGGGTAAGTGAAGGGCTGTGTCAAGGATATTTGGCTGGGTTTCCTTAGGAGTCCTATTAAGAATCCCCTTCCAGGGACTCAAAAAAGCTCTAATTCCAGAGAATTTTTAAAGAATACTCTTATTTTTACACCCTTCCAAAAATAGGGTTTTTGTCCTTGTTCCCTGAATTTCTTTCTGGGGTGGTTGAATATCAAAGTTTTCAAAATGTTTTTAGGAAGACTGAATTGGTATTCTGCTTTCAAATTCTGATTAGGGTAATATTGATGGGGAATTTATGTTTACTAACATACTCACTGTCTGTCAGCCTTTTTTTTTTTTTTAAAAAAGAATGAAATTAAGTTTAAAAAATGTAAACATTTCTCAAAGTTTGGAAGGCAAAGAGTCACTCATAGTCCTACTACTTTAACACTGCTGTTTTTGTGAATTCTCTTACAATTTTTGAAAAATTATAACTTTTATACCCTGCTATTCATTCTTGCTTTGTAATTATCATTCCTTTGACATTTGCATAGTTTTAGAGTGGAAATTATGTTGTGTTTTGACTGTTGGATCAGAAGGGGCATTTGAGTCTGAGAATGGGGTGGTTATTTTGCATATTGAATAAGAAAACGAACATGAACTGTCATTAAGTATTCATCCTACTGAATCTTGTAAAATTCCTTTGGTGTGTGTTTGTGCCAATAGGTATGAGTATTCTCCAAGGAAAGGATGACATATTTTTGGACCTGAAGCAGAAATTCTGGAATACATATAAGGTAAAACAGACACTTGAAAATGCAACCAACATCTTTTTATATACCTTTAACAAGAAATACATTTTTTTAAGATTTATTTTTTATTTATGCATACAAGAACTGGGGTGTAGGCCCGAGGTGCAGGGGGTGAGAGGATTCACCAGAGACGGAGTGGGGAGCAGAACAAGCAGATCCACTGAAATACACTGCTGAGGGGAGCATCGAGCAAGGCAGGAGAGGTCTGCTGGGCCATGTGGCTTGCTCCCTGGCCAGCTGGGGATCGAACACATACTGTAGTAGTTGCAGATAGCTTCATAGTGCTGACACTTAACCCCTTTCGCCACCAGGGAGGCCCCAAGAAATACATTTTAATAAAAATATTTGTCCTCAAATCAGGGCTCCATTTGGGTGGTACAAGGGCACTGTGTTTTGACAGTGTTTTGATGGATGAAAAGAGGTTTTAAGCTTGTCTATACTTTAAAGTGTCAGTACTTGACAAGTGTCTATACATGAATGTTTCCAGGATGGGAAAGGAACAACAACTCTGAACTGTCTGACATTCATATGTTTATTCTTATTGGTGCCCACATTAATTCCTGAGTTTTGGAGCCAATGAGGTCATTACACAATAGGAACAGTAGAAAGAGATGGCTTAATGGTCATTCTCACATTCAGAGCCATGGTTTCCAGGTGTGCTGAGTCACTGTGAAAGGAAACTTCTTAACCTCACTAAGGTATTTACAGAGAAGTGGGATGTTCCCCAGGGTTACTTGAAGCAAGTCACCTATTACGCCTATTACACCTATTACACTATTACTATTGTACCTATTACAATATATACAATCCACTCTAACAAATATTTATTCACGTTCAATTGAGATTGATGAAGTAGTGTCTGTAGGCCTGAAAAAATCAGGAAGGCTTTCCAGTTCTGCCTATAGCATGTTAATTCTACTAACACAGAGGTGAATTTTCAGGATTTCAGGTTATATAGGCTGGCCTAGAGATTCACATGTACCTAATTCTCTAAGAAAAGCAGTGTCAACCACACCCAGCTATTGCCAGCTATGCTACTGCTTCTAGCATCTTTTGTTGAATGGTACCAAGCCCCAGAGCTGGCATCACCCACATGGTAATTGGAAGCAGATGATAAAGAGGGTTGAAGTCACACCTTCTTCCTGAGCCCCAACACTTGGGAACAGTTCTTTCTTTCTTCAAGGGGGAAGACTGTGTAGAACTTTTCTCTCCCAGTTATTTATTTACTTAATTCTTTGTTTATTATTAGTAAGGACTCCAGGACTCCTGATTTTTCAATGGTTGATCATTCATTTCAGTGTTTAATTATTTGTAGTACTGAAGTGTACCTGATTTGGTCAGTGAGTGCCTCTTTCCATGTCCTTGTGATACCCCCTATCTTTATTTGTTTATTTCCTGGCATAGCAAGATGTTTCAGGCTCACCTTGTACCTGCCTTAACCCTGGACCTATTTCTCTGAGGAGTCCTTTTCCCTTTTCTTGGAGGATTGTGCAGAAGACCAAGATCTAGGCACAAGAGGATGCTACATTTTAAAAAAATAGTTATTTATGCATACAAAAACTGGGGTATAGGCAAGAGGTGTGGGGGATGTGTGAGAGGATTCCCAAGAGACAGAGTGTGGGGGACAGAACAGGCAGACTGACTGAAATCCACTGCTGAGGGGAGCAGCGGGGGAGACAGGAGAAGTCTGCTGTGCTATGTGGGTCACCTCCCTGGCTGGAGATAGAACTCGTGCTACAGTGACTACAGGTAGCTTCATAGTGCTGTGTCTTAAAACCTTGCGCCACCAGGGAGGCCCAAGGATGCTGCATTTTGAAAGAAAAAAAAATGATATAAGAAATTTATTAGGTGGGCTTAGTTTTCTGATCAGGTAGTAAATTCTTCAATGACATTATACCTAAAGACTTCAAAGTGCTTAAATACTTGCAATTGAACTGTGATTGCAATTGTTTGTTGTAGAACTTTAGAAAATGAAAATTACTAAAAAAAAAAAAAGATATTCATACCACTTTCATGTTACCAATGTAATATCACTTTTTAAAAAATAAAAATGTATTAATTTGCAATACTATATAAATTTTGGAGTGCAGCTTTACAACTTGATATGTGTATAAACCTCACTTCACCCACCACCAAAATTCTAGTGCCCTTAGCCATGCTTTCCTCTTGCCTCCCTCCCCCACTTTTCATAGAGTCTAAGAGTTATTTTTGTTGTGATTTGTTAGTTTGTTTGCTTTGCTTATTTATATTCCACAGATGAGAGAAACCATCTGGTGTACTACCACCTTTAAAGAACTATTTTGAAAACCTCTAGTTGTTGGATTTTTTTTGGGGGGAGGGGGTTAATTTATTTACCAAGACCTCTGTTGAAAAAAATTGATAATGATGACTTTTCTTTCAGATTGTATACATTACAGCCTGTTAAAGTAAATCTAAAACATTTTATAATATACAAAAAATCATCTAGACTTATTCCATATCATGAAATAGTTTTGAGTATATTATTAGCGAATCATTTCATAAAGAATAAATTGTGATATGGTTTAAAAAATATATTTATGATCTGTTATAAATACATTCCTACATTATTTGCTTGGACTAGCCGGAAAATTACTACACACACACACACACACACACCCGTATCTATCCATATGTTGTTATTTTGAAAGCAGGTGTCTTGCAGAATTGGTACCGACTCTGGTAGACTTCTTTCTGGATACATGAGTAAGAATGCTTTATACAATTCCACAAGTCCCCACCTGCCACCCACCCTGGAGACCTTAAGCACTCTAATTTAATCGGCTTAGTCTGAAATATAACACCACCATTGTACTATATGCCTGGTATTTCTTAATCTTTTATTCAATGAATTGTGGGATTGTTTGGGGCAATGAGAAGCATTCTAACAAAGTTTTCCTTTATTCCAGTGTGCTCTGATGTACTGGCCATTTGTGCAGGTGAGTTTCAAGCTACTGAGAAGGGGGACTCAGGATTTTTGTCCATATGGACCCCTCACAGATTCTCCCTCTCTGTCTCTTGCAGCTGACCAACTTCGCCCTTATTCCCATTCACTGGAGAACAGCTTACACCGGCTTCTTTGGCTTTTTCTGGGCCACCTTCCTTTGCTGCTCCCAACAGAGTGGTGATGGTACCTTGGAGTCAGTTTTCACCTCCCTTCATCTAAAGGACACCCATGCAGTAGAAGGGCCTCCAGAGAACTGAGAAGTCAGACTCCTAGAATGACTAAATCTTTTCCTTAAATGCAATGGATTGCTGTGGATAAAATACTCTAGTTACCTGTTATGTGCCCCATCTTGCAAATTTATTGTTCCATAGACTCCATTGCTTTTTATAAATTATAACATTCCACCTGTTTTATTTTTCTCCATCCTACTCTGAATGTATTATTTCTGTAGTATTTCCACTTTTCCAATACTTTGGCTCATATCAGTAACAGTGGCAAAATGGCATTTTGTAATTATTACTATTTCTATTCCATTATTTTAATGTCAATGGGTTTAAGAAAGTCCTATGTCAATTGAATACCTCTTTCTCCTAAAATCTCAGGTTATCACCCAAATGCTTTTGGATCAGATTCTCTTTTTTACCAAAAATAGTTCTTATCTAAGTCAATTACTATTTACATAGAATTCAATCAAGGAAAAATGGAACAATTTTTTTCTCCAAACTGCTATAACTTATCTGTTGTTATGCTGATACTACAACTTTTTAAGTACATTTTTGTATCATCAGCAACAAAAACAACAACAATGTATCATCAGTGTCCCCTAGATAAAATGTATTTTATTGTTGTCTTTTACTTTTAAAATTTCCTAGGTACTTGTTAGTTAAGTTTTTAAATTTTTGAGCATATTCAGCTGACTAACATGCCCCATTTCCTAGACATGAAATATTCAAAACATTTGACTTCTTAAAGAAATATATTGAGTGAAGGTTCTTAAAATGTTAATATTTTTTTCTTCCTCCAAAAGGTAGAATTCCACTTTATAGGACTCCAGGGAAAATAGTTACCCCAATTTTACATTGATATTATGTTTCTAAAAATCAATGCTTTAAAATAAATATTGATAGATAATCCTTAAGGTAGACTCAAGAAACTCAATCTAGTTTTTCAGATTTACTCAGTTTGTCTAACCTCAAACCAGTGGGTTTATGAAATTGTTTGAATATCTCAAGTTTCAGCAAATTTTATCTAAGAATTACACTAGAATTCTGCTTCTAATGGAATATTTCACAAATTTAAAGACTTGAAACACTGAAATGTTCGTAAATTTATCTTGGCAATTTATGATTAAGATTCATTTAAGAATGTATACCTGAATTTCTTAAGCATGTGACTTCTACAATTTGTACTGTGAGTTTATATGTCATCATTATAACTTCTAAGCATACAATTTATTTGAATTTAATAGATATTAAATATTTTCCATCATTGGGACAATAGTAAAGAAATTTCTAGAGCATTAATTTTAAAATTATTTGTTTTGGCATTATTTTTAAAGTGGTTCATAGAACAGAGAATCTATTTCACAATGCAAAAGTTACATTTTGTCATTCAGTATATTCAGAATAACTGTAGCAAGTTCTACCTGGCAGTGTTTAGATAAGGTTCAATATTGCTTTCATGATGCAAAAATAGTGTTTGTATTTTGTATAAAAATACTTGGGAAGACAGACTTTGTTTAGACTGTCAAAGGGGAAAAAGCTTATTTATAAAAGTTAGGGTATGATAGTCTTTACTCAGTAATGGGTTACTCTGTGTTGTCGAGAATACATGGAATACATATTCTGAGAATTTTTACAAATAATACACTTTGTATTTTTATGCACAAGTAATGATGTGTGTTAGTGCAGGAAATGGAAATTAATCAAAACGATGTATTGTTTATTTACAAATGCTGCTGTCCTTGGTAAAACACGTTTCAGGACCTTGAACCCACAGGCAGCCCTCTCTTTTCCTCCAGATTTTCCTGGCTTCTACAATTTGTTTAATGTTTGTGTGTTCTGATCCTGTGGTTGCTCAGGCAAAGGCCAAACCTAGAATTCATTTCCCTTAATAGAGTGAGACAGACCACATTTCCAAACGGTGTTACCCTAGCATATATAGAGAACAAAAGGGAAATTTGGAAAATATCAAAAAGTATTTAAAAATTTGTAGAATACCAATTTCCGATTGTTAATAGCTTGACTGGGGTCAGATATCCTATCCTGCATCCAGGCATTCGGAGTATTTACCCTTTAACTCCAAGGGCACCTTCTTGGCATTTCTTTCTGATTCCATTTTTGTCACTGATAATACCATCTTCCATCCACCACCAAGAAGCTGCCTTGACCCTGCTACCTTTAAGATCAAGAGAGTTTGAGTCCTGTCTTTGTGGAGTCTGGTTTCTATTTCTAGTCTTGGAGAGGGACCTCTTAACCAGATGGTGGAAAACTGATTTCTCCATGCAGGGGAGATCTTTCCTTCTACACAAATGAGTGCCAGCACCCTTACAATCCATCAATAGAACCATAGCTAAATGAAATAAACATGTAAGTAATCAATTAATATTATGGGATGGCTGTTTTAGAGGTGTAAGGATAACTACATGGCGATAACTATGTTCAAGAAGTTTATGATCTATTGAGCATATAAATTTAAAAAATGACAATCGGGTGCTTAACACATCTGATCCAACCCATCAATCACTGTTTAAACAGCATCTGTGACAAGCAGTCAATAGAAACCTTGAACATTACTCAAATATTGCCTCCCAGTCCTGGGTTAGTGGCATAAGCAGTAAGTACTTTGAAGTCGTGGTGCTCTGGATAACCTGGGAAAACTTCCCAGAGGAGATGCCTGAGTCCAGAACAAAGGTTGTAAATTCACAAGACTACAGCCTGAACTGGGGTGGTAATGGTAGGATCAGATGAGACAAAATGAGATCTTGAAAGAGCAAAAAAAAAAAGAGAAGGCATTTCATTTCTAACAGGGAAATTTCACTGACCAACTTTGAATAATGTACACGTGTCTATGCAGCTTACTTGTAATTAAGGCTCACACATAATGTGCAACTTACCTGTCTCCGTTTATAGGAAAATTAATGAAAATGATACTCTTTTATCTATATCATTGTTGGTTTGGTGAGTGAGAATTAGGCAATTTGAAAGTGCATATGTTTAAAATGTTCTAATACCAAGTTTGAGAATGGTATGTGAAACCTTTTGTTTGTAACAAGATTTCCATATTTTCCTCAAAATCTTGCAAGTGGACGAAGTGATTCGTTATTTGCCCACTTTACAGCCAGTGAAATTTGACATCTGGGGAGTCATACAAATGAAGGGTACTCTAGGATAACTTGAGCATTTTCTCCTATTGATGTTCTTTGGGCCAAAATTAGAAAACTGTTTAATGAATAAAAGAAATCATAGCTACTAAAAGTTTGAGTTCAAAGGGGAATTTTTTTTTACATCCTATTATTTCATTGATAGTTGCAATTTTGGTTTTTATTTTTAAATTTTTTTAAAAGCTTTTATTTATTTATGCATACAAGATCTGGGGTGTAGGCCAGAGGTGCGGGGTTGCGGGGTGATGAGAGGATTCACCAGAGACAGAGTGGGGAACAGAACAGGTGGATTGACTGAAGTACACTGCTGAGGGGAGCAGTGGGGAGACAGGAGAGGTCTGCTGTGCCATGTGCGTCAGCTCTTTGCCTGGGGATCAGGGATCTAGCTGCAGTGGCTGGGGTTTGCTTCATAGTGCTAAGACTTAACCCCTTGCAACACCAGGGAGGCCCAATTTTGGTTTTTAATACTTTGGCATTTTAGGTTGGAGCTAGATAGAGCCTCCAAGGTCAGTCATATAAACTCAGCTAACCAGTCAAATTGAAGGCCCACAATCTCTTTACTTGATACAGATTATCCACAACTACAATTTCCAGCTCATCTGCTATGCACTTCATTTGTTCGAAGTGTATTCTTGGCTCTGTAGATATTTTACTTTTAGTTCAGTGGAATTTTATGTGAATTTCTAGAGTTGTTTCTTGTTTTTTTAACCACAACAAATTATATCAGCACATGCCTAGCAATGGAACCTGGAGGCAATTTTTGTTTGAAATTAGGTTCAACTTCTGGAAGTATTAGAAAGTTAATGGATTTTTGTGCCTGAAGATTTTGACCTTGCTTGGCTATATTTAGTCGAGGTTTACCCATAATGTTCAGAATCTAAAAGATTTAAAGCACAGAAAATGCAATTATAAAATATTGCATTTTTTTCTTTTAAGCTGTCAATAACCAATACGTGAAGGGGGAAATCTGGAGTTTAAAGATAAAGTATGTACTTGAAGTTTAATGATAAAGAATACTAGAATTGAGAGTTCCAGGGCCTCCCTGATGGAGCAAGGGATTAAGTCTCAGCACTAAGAAGCTATCACCAGCCACTGCGGCTTGAGTTCGATCCCCGGCCAGGGAGCTACCCACATGGTGCAGCAGACCTCTCCTGTCTCCCCTCTGCTTCCCTCAGCAGTGTACTTCAGTGACTCCACCTGTTCTGTTCCCCACTCTGTCTCTGGTGATTCTTCTCACCCCCCACCTGTAGCCTGTACCCCAGTTCTTGTATGCATAAATAAATAAATCTTTAAAAAAAGAGAGAATTGAGGCAACCCAGTGAGGATTTCCAAGTGACTTCTCAAAAACCATCCCTCTTGAGCTTAAGTAGGAAAAAAAATTCAGTATTAAGATGAGGTGAACTTGAGTTTCAACTTCAAGTTACTGTGGCTGCCCTTCCTACCCTCCAGCGCACATGTGGTTTTTTTCTTTCTTTCTTTTTTAAATTTATTTATTTATACTAGAACCCAGGTACAGGCCAGATGCACAGGAGGGTGAGAGGATTCACCAGAGATAGAAAGGGGAACAGAACAGGCAGATTGACTGAAGTACACTGCTGAGGGGAACAGCGGGCGAGACAGGAGATGTCTGCCTCTCCGTGTTGGATTCTCCCCAGCCGGCCAGGATTGATCCCACGCTGCAGAGGCCGCGGACAGCTTCACAGCATGGTGCTCAACCGCCTCCGCCAACAGGGAGACCCACGTGTGTTTTGTTTTTTTTTTTTTCATCTTGAGTCTACTGATTTCTTTCATGATTTAAATTCTGTCCTACTATTTTGACCAAAGTAGATTGCCCTGAACACATTCAATGAAGGAACTGATCATTCTTGCTTGAAAAGTATGTTAGATTGTTTGGGAGTTAAGTTCAGTGAACATTTATACATTCATCCTGTTTATAAGCGAGGTCACTTAGATCATTCTGTGGCTATCCTTTCTGTATTTATTGCTTCTTCATTTTCGGTCCTTTCTGTTGTCTTAAGTTGTACCCTGAATGTTGGCAATAGAATGGGAATAGTAAGTTGCCACCAGGAAGTTAAATTGTCGAGTGGGAGATAGAATTTCCTTCACTGAACGTAACAGTTATATAATAAACATATAATTTCTCCAGCTATAATTTGAGTTGGAGAAAACAAATAAACTACATTAGAGTCTAGGTTTTTTGTTTGCTGAATTTTAGTGCATCATTCTAACCGAACACCTTCTATAAAAACACTGTCACCTGGGAACTCGAAATAAAAATACCAAATCAAAGTGAAAACATTGCTTGTTCACTTGATTTCTTTAGTAGCTGACCTCTAAATTGACAGGAGAAAATCCTAGGGGGAAAGTGTTTGTGAGTTAAGTTTCTTCTAAATTATGGCTTTATGCCAGAGAAATGCTTAATAATATTTAGAGGACTTAATAAGGGGTGGTGACATATTAAATTAACATACTAAGCAGTCAGATATAAACTCACAGGGCAGAAATTACAATACGTCAAATTGCAGACTGATATTTCTCCATAATAACAGATAATACTAAAGTGAACCAAGATTTCCAGGCTTTTGGCTAACAATGAATTTGTGAGAATAGTATTTAGAGAATTTCCTTCAGGTGATGCATGAAATTTTGAATAGAGTTAATGATGGCCAGTAGATTATTTTACCTTCTGGAGGAAATTATAAAGAGCAATATACACATCTTGATTTATTTTTCAGTGGTTTGGAGCACCTATACTTTTACCTGAAGAAATGAAAAATTTTTTCACTATTATCAAAAAAGGAGTATAAAATAGTCAATGCAAGCCAAAGGCTAAAGAAGACAATTTTTAAATGGGAATGTGTAGAAAGAAGAATGAGCGATACAGGCAAAAGCTAAAAGCAAAAATCTATAATTTATTTTTTACTCCCCCTTTCTGTTTCTCTTACCATAAACTGGTTTATTTATTGTCTCTTCAAGAACATCTGACATTTGCTTGTGTGTCTTCTTGTAGGATGTTATTTCCTTGTTTCCTTTTAATTCAAATTCTACTCATTAATTAAAACTTTTGCAGTTTTGTTTTTGTTTTTGCTAGATCAGTCTTCAACTGCTGATTGTGGGCAGTATAAGCTCCAAAGACTCTCCCTTTTGACCTTTGTCAGGTTTAAGGAAAATTGGGCCCATCCACGTAGCATGATTTAGGGGATGGAGCCTCAATTGGTGTCTGTCCTGTTGGAAATTGAAGGTGCAGGCAATGGGGAGAATGCCCAAGAGCTCCTGGGCATGAATCGATGCTGGTGTTGACTCAGCCAGTGACTTGGGCCCTTGCAAGTGCAGTCTAGAGCTCATTCCAGCATGCCTGACTCAACTCCTCCCTGAACTATCTCTTCAGGCCCCATGCCGGTGGCAGAGCATTGTTCTAGAAGGTTCTCCTTGGTCCCTTCTTTCCATTCACTTCTCTCTGTTAAGGAATCCATCTCCCAGGGCAAGGTAATCAACTCTCATTTATTCTTCACAAAACTGTTAATCATTGCAGAAACTATATTCTGAGCTCTTTGGAACTTGGCTTTAGGTCCTCAGAGCTAGGTTTTTGGACTGTAAGAACTATTTAAAAGATATTTTTTCATGATGCGTTTCCAAAGTCTGTTTTGAAATCCAAAAGCTAATCATTGTCTGAGTCCCCCCTCCTTTTTTTTTTTGCTGTATCTTATTTCTCCTGGGCTACTGGGGCTGGAAAAGGGCCATGTTGATAATAACTGGTGGTAGGGAACTATAAAATAATTCAATGTAGTACTTACAATTGATACATTCATTTATCTATTCATTCAACAAATATTTATTGAATTGAGTACCTACTATATTTTAAAGCTCATTCCCAATCCCTTTTCCACAAAACTAAGCCTGCTGCTCTAGTCTTTTTTTTTTTTTTTAAAGATTTATCTATTTATACAAGAACCAGGGTATAGGCCAGATGTGCAGGAGGGTGAGAGGATTCACCAGAGACAGAGTGGGGAACAGAACAGGCAGACTGACAAAATACACTGCTGAGGGGAGCAGCGGGTGAGACAGGAGAGGTCTGCTGCATCCTGTGGGATTCTCACTGGCCAGTGGGGATCGAACCTGTGCTGCAGAGGCTGCAGACAGCTTCACAGTGAGGTGCTCAACCGTCTTCACCACCAGGGAGGCCCCTGCTCTAGTCTTTATTGAACTTTTTTTCTTCTGATTCTGAGAGCATTTATAACCTGTACCATACAATCTAGCACTTAGTTATATACTATTTTGTATTGGAAGTCATCTGACATATATTTTATTTTCTCTCAACCACACTGAAGCTCATGAAGTGAAGGACTATGCTTTATATTTATTCTGTATCCTTCCAGCCTAATGCCTGCCCGAAGGAGTTCAATTGGTTGATTTCTGTGTAAATGGGTACTGACATTGGCATGAGTTGCATTCATGCATAAAAACCTCCTGAACTAAAGAAAGCATATTCCTTTAACTCTGCTAGCTAGTGTAATAAGTAATATGCCCTTACTTATTACCTCAAACATGTGGGGAAAGTAGGGGAGAGAAGGCATATGTTGGGAACTGAGATAGAGGACTATTCTCCACTGGGATCATTGTACCTTTTAGGTACAATAGCTAAATTTAGCAAATAAAAATACAAGGCACCCAACTAAATTTGAATTTCAGATAAACAACACATTTTCTTAGTGTAAGTATGTCCCAATGTTGCGTCTGTGGCATATGAATAAAAATTGTTGTTTATCTGAAATTCATGTGTAACTGAAATTTCTGTACTTTACCTGGTAAACCCACACTCAGGGGATTTTGGCAATATCCAGAGACAGTTTTGGAGGGAGGTACTATTGGCATCTAATGGGTAGAAGCAGGGATTCTGCCAAACATCCTAAATAGTGTCAGGGACCCTGCAACAGAGAATTACCTGGCTCTAAATATCAATTGCACCAAGTTGGGAAACTGTTCTATAGGATACAAAGAACATAGCTCCAGGTTATCTTTTCTTAAGGTATTTGACCTTTTAAAGGGTTTATAAAAATATTTGAAACTTGAGGTGTGTATGTGTGTATACATACGTCTTCAAAATACAAAAAGAAAAAATCCAGGAAATAAAAATGAGTAAGTTTTTTATTCTGTCTTTAAAATAGAATATAATGTTGACCAAGTCACCTGCAGCAGCTCAATATATATAGTTATGCTATCTATATTAAATATAATGTGGAATGTGGATGCATTTCATACTATTTAGGGTAATTTTTTAAAAGAAAGAATGTCAAACTCTTTGGAAGTTTTCTTAACAATTTAAAAATAGCTCTACTGAAGCCAGGCAGGATCTAAAATATTGTTTCTAGGTTGGTGCATGGAGGAATAAGTGATATTTCGAGATATGGAAGATACTAGAATGCAAGGTCCATTTAAAGATCACAGTTGAGATATTTAAGGAAGACTTGGGTGACACCACCAGTCTGATCAGATAGTCAAAGACAGAACTTAGAGGCAAAGGAGAAAAAAAAGCTATCTGGGACTTGGGAAGTGGAGGCTTTGTGTAGAGGGAAGTGGACTGGTCTCTGTCACTGAAGCAGTATTTGATTTGGACATCTTTTTTAAAGCAGGACTGCAAAATATTACAGCATAAATGAGACAAATATTTTTGTCATTGTCTTGTTAAACTGATTAATATAGACAATGTGTCTGCAAAATCCCATTTGTAAAGGTTTTGGACTTCATGCAATACATTATTTGTCATGATTGCGATGTTGCTCTTTCATTAGAGGTTGTGCTGGCAGGGTGGCCTTTCAGAATCTCTTGTTTTCATCTAGATTCTTTATCTTCCACAGGAATAATATTTGGATGAACAAATTGGCAAATTTGACTCTCAGTCTAAACAGAGAATGTGGTAGGAGTGGAAATAGAGTTAAGTCTGTACAGTAGTAGAGCAGGTGAAAAAGGTAGTGGCTTGGACTAAATAATTGTTGAATAGATAAATAAACAATTGGTACACCCGACATTTATGTGGAAGAAGTGACTGAATTACGTCTCCAGACCCCGAGGAGTTTAAAAAAAATAAAAATATGTCATGGTTGGCGGTTCGCGAGGCGGGCGCGAGATCCCTTCCCTAAAATGGCGGCCTCCAAGGACGGTTGTGACTTTGGTGAAGAGGCCGCGGGGAACAGGCCGCGGCTCCATCTGGGGATTCCTGAAGCCGTGTTTCTGGAAGACATCAATTCCTTCATGAAACAGCCTGGGAATGAGACGGTGACCTCTGTGCTGAAGAAGCTGGATGAACAGTACCAGAAGTATAAGTTTATGGAACTGAACCTCGCTCAAAAGAAAAAGAGACTAAAAGGCCAGATTCCTGAAATCCAGCAGACTTTAGACATTCTAAAATACATGCGGAAGAAAAAAGAGTCTACTGATTCACTGGAGACCAGGTTTTTACTCGCAAATAACCTGTACTGCAAGGCTTTAGTGCTCCCTACCAATAACGTGTGTCTCTGGCTGGGGGCTAATGTAATGCTTGAATATGATACTGATGAAGCTCAGGCACTGTTGGAAAAGAACTTATCGACTGCCACAACCAACTTTAATTCCCTTGAGGAAGACCTTGACTTTCTTCGAGATCAACTTACTACCACAGAAGTCAACATGTCCAGGGTTTATAACTGGGATGTGCAGAGAAGAAACAAAGATGGCTCTACCAAGAACAAACCATAATGCTGGCAACTAAAACTGTAGTATTTTACTTGCTCAAAGTTTATCCTTAAAGGCTGGCATAATTTTGAATGATTTTTAACAGCAAGGGCAATAATTAAAACTTTCAAAAAGAGATGAACAAAACATTGCATGCTTATTAGTTTCAAATATTTTATGAAATTAGAAGTTTTGGCTCCCCCACATTTCCAAAAAGATAAATGCAGATTTCATCTTTTTTTTTTTTTCTCATAAGAAAAATCGTCAGTGAAATGGCTGAAAACTTTGGGGTATGCTATGAAAGTTGAATTCTGGTCATGTTTGAATTCTTCACAGTTTACTTTTTTTTACTTTTTCTTTGTTGGCTGACACTCTAACTTGTGGTTAAACCAGTTTCCCCAGTAGGGGAAAACAGTTTGAATATTTGCAAACTTGTTTTTTTTTTTTTTTTTTTCTCTTTTTTTTTTTTTTTTAATATTAAATTTTATTTTTATATTCCCCCATACAATTGCAAACGCCCCATTCTGACCCCAATCCTTCCCCTCCCGCCCCCCACCCCCCAAAAAGTGTCTCTGGTTCATAGAAACTTGTTTTTCTTTAATACTTGTGGGGGCTTTCTGGTGTTCTGTGGTTATCTATATCTCATGTAAATGGAGTATCACAAATTACTGCTTAGCCAATAACCATTTATTATATCAGTCTGTACTTTCCAGGAAATGGTAATTTGCCTTCCTAAACAGTGTCTTTGCTGAAGGGCCTCTTGTTCAACATGAATAATAAAATTACTCTTAGCTAAGGTGGTTTTGTATTTCTTAACAATTCAAAGCAGCGAAATGGTAAAACTAAGACACACATAAGTGTGTAATGGTTGAAAATAGTTATGAGCCTTTTCTATTCATGATAAAACCTCCTAGGACTAGTACAAAATCCCTGGGGAAGCTCTTGGTGGAGTGGCCAGTACTGGGTAACACACTTTCCGGTAAAAACACAAATGTGTTATTCCTTCTCCATAGAGTAAAAAGTATACTTATGTAATGTTTTGTATCTGTGTTGCATATATTAAAATAGTGAAGTAAAAAAAATCATGCTGGGTCTGCCATACTTTCAGCAATTCAGAGCAAATATTCTTCCATAACGTGACTGCACAAGCTTTCAGCCAGAAACCTAGAGGCTCATGTCATAATTCTTGTCTTAGTCTGGTTAGAAGTAAATACCACTTAACATATGCAGCCCGCAGCCCAGCGGACAGGTCTTTTAAAAACATTCCTTTCACTGGGGAAAATGGCCAAAGCTGTCCAAGGATTAGAGACTCTTGAGCTAAGTAGATAGTGCTCAGATTAACCAAACATTTTTCAAGACTTCAATTTTCATTTTCTTCCATACAGACTCAAGGAGCTGGCGCTATTTAAAGAGTGTTTTCTCTGCTCTGCTAGGTGTGAGGGTATGAGCAGTATGAGGATAAACACTTTTATAAAGACCAATGTCATTCCAGATATAATTTTGGATGCTAGTGAGAATGAAGGCATTGGTATTCAGCAGTCAACAGTTGCTTATCCAACAATAAAGTAGTTGCAGTTAATTCCATTTTTTTGCATCCCATGCTTCTCCCTGCCCCTCACCCTCAATGGCTACAAAGATGAAATTGCTGACATTCTAGGATGATAGTTGCAAATGAATAACAAATCTGGGCCAACAGAAGGCTTTCTTAAGGCACCCACAAGAAGTGGGGAATTTTTTAATTAAAAATCTGGGTTTCTGGCCCATTTTAAAAGATGGGACAATCAGGTCTATGGTTGCTATGGTCCTTCATTAAGATTATACTCAGTGTCTGTTTCCATTACGAAGTTCAGGACAGACTTCACCGCCTTACAACCTGCCCAATGCATTCATTTCCATTACCCACGAGGCTCTGCAGACTATGATTTGTAACCCCTGTTATTGGTGGTATAATACACTGGCAAAATTGACCAGATGATCAACTAAGCATTAATTATAAGCTTAGTTGGTAAAAAACATAATGTAATAAAGTGACATCGTGCTATGACACCATTGCTTGCATCTGTCTGCTGGTGTAATGGACTTGTTGGTCAGAGATGGTCTAGTTCTCTTTCTCACTATTTACCGCATGTTTTATTAATAGTGGTAACATTTCATGTGCTACAGGGTGATTCAGCTTTTCTATTCCACTTCTCATGGCAACAACAAATATCTTCCTTCTGAGTCAGCATTACCTAGATGCTACTGCTAACCAAAATTAGACCACGTATTTACAACGCCATAAATATGAGCAGTTAAAATTTTCTTAATATTAATTGCAACATAGCTTGTATAATTACCCCATGTTCTGTGATCTAGGTATGGTGTCTACAGAGCCAGAGGAGGAAATGTAACAGCATTTTCTCTGTTTTGCAAGCATCATTACATTATAATGAATAGGTAATATTAAATTGGGCTGATGAGTCATATTATAGTAATCCAATATCTCCCTTGTAAAGTCCCTGAGGTTTACACAAGGAAATCTTTTCAAATAACAAGAAGAGTGATTCTGAGACATGTGCCTCTCAGCTTCCCAGCCTTTATTTACTACTTGTGTGATCCTGGGTAAGGAGCTTAACCTTTCACAACCTCATTGTATTCAGGATTAAGTGAGATCACACACATGTGAAAACTTGAAGGACACTGCTTGACACATAGGCTCAATCAATGTCAGTATCCTTTTAATAGAAATCAATTCTTAAGCACAAAATGACAGAATAGAATAGCCATTCTCTTGAGTCATTTTCACTATGAAGTAGTGGATGGCATTCTGTATGTACGGTGGGGGACACATCTTGACTAGATTTAAGGGGTGGGGGGAGATTGATTTTTTTTTCCCTTCTACTCCACCAGGACACTTTAGTTAGCATTTCTTTTTTTGAATTGGCCAAAAGTTACAGCAGAGTGCTAATTCAGTTACATTAAGCTTGTTTATCTTATGAATACCTCAGACCAGTGAGAGTTTCTGTTTTCGTATTACCCAATGTCATGAAATTCTTTTTACTTTTTGCAATAATTTCTATAACTTTGGATTTTTCTATTTTGTTCATTAACATCAGTTCATTAACATTTAAGCTGTCTCTGTCTGGTGCTATGCTAGGTAAAAATGATGCCTGAAAGGGAGTTATAGAAGGAATCTGTTCTCCATTTGCTTAAGGTCTAGTAGACAGACTTACAGGCCAAGCTCAGTCCACACTTAATGCAGACTAATCATTTGCTATTGCAGCTCTGATCATTTTAAAGTGATTAGAACACATTTGGACTCTGTGTGTGCACATGTAAACCCACATAATTCACATGTAAACATGTGAATTATAATACATTGTAGTAGTGCGTTGTAGTACACTCTTCTGATGCATGTAATTTGCCATGATATTTCTGGAGGATGAGATTAATAAAAAATAACTGCCTTTGTAAATGTACATATCCTTTGATTCAACAATTTCACTATAAGGAATTCACTGACAGGGAGTAAAGGACAGAATCACAAGTTTGCTTCTTACAGTCTTGATGATAATCTCAAGAAGTTAGGAATAACCTAATTGCCCCTCAGACCAAGGAGATTGGGTATATAAATTATTCTGCGGGCGGCAGTAAACCAATGGAGGTTTCTAAGCACAAGAGTGGCATTAGATGTGTGTATGTGTGCATGTTTAAGATAATTTTAGAAGCAGTATGAGAATGGTCTCAGTGGGGAAAACCCAGAAAAGATGGTTTTTGCAACACTCTAGATAAAAGATGATGCAGAATTGAGCTAAAGCAAGGCAGTGGGAATGGAGAGGACAATTGGGTTCGGGAGAGATTTTCGAGGTAGACTCTATCAGACTGGGTATATGGACAAGGGTATGGAATATGGGAGAGTCAGATATTGAGGTTAATCTGAGATTTCTAATTTAGGTAGAGCAGATTTGGGGAGGGGGGAAGAATAAGGCTTATGATTTGAACATGTTCAGGTTGAGGTTATTAATCCTTCCTCCAGGACATTGCTTTGGTGATTTCTTGAGTAGACAGGAAAACTTTGAGAGGTGATGTGGACTATGGTTCAGTGTTTGGGCTGGCCGAGATTGAATGCAGGCTCTGTCACCTTTTAGCGAGTGGCTTACTCAACCTCTCTGAACTAAAGGCCTGGTCTCAGAGCATACCGTTCAGAGCACGGCATTAAATAGGGTAAGTCTTGTAAAGTTCCCCATACAGAGGAACCACTCAGTAAATGCCAGCTTTAAAAAACAAGAAGTGCCATACTTGAGAGAGTCCTCGCATGCCCTGGGATGTTCTCCAGACTCCCTCCCCACTGTAATAACTTCAGTGGTCAGCATGGCCAACCTGATCCCAGGCCATTTATGCTGGGGGCCAAATGGGGGTTTCCTAACAGATGCAGGATTTCAGGCCCTAAGGCCCAAGTAGATATTTCCTCACCTTCTTTTCTCTCTCCCAAGCCTCCTTTGAGAGCAATACCTAATGTGCTTTCTGGAACGCTCTTTAACTCTATTTTCTCCTTCATTTCCACTTCCTTCTTTTTCAATTTTCCTAAGATTATTGAATGTTTCCAAGGAGTGGGTGAAAATGCACAGAAGGACTTGGGCTGGCGATGTGGATTAGAAGCCAGTAGTGCTGAGGCCACAACAAAGATAGGCTCAGCTAGGAAGGGGGTGAAGAAGGAGAAGCGAAGATGGAAGGGGATAAATATTGGAGAAACATAACTGAAGGGACTGAATAATGGAGAAGGGAAGGCAGAACCAAGAGAAACAGGAGAGGGCAGTGTCCTGGAGGCCAAGTGGGAAGGGACTTCAGAATAGGGTCTGGCGCAAGAGTTTGCATTTTTTGGGGGGAGAGATTAAATAGGATAGTGCTGAAAAGAAGAGACAAATAGGTCATTAGGGATCTTAGAGCAATTTCAGTGGAATGGAGTGTAAATGAGTGACTTGCCCAAGGTCGTGCAACTTAGTGGTGGAAACAGGACTACAAACTTGGGTGGCTGGTGTCCAGAACCCAAGTTATAATCTACTGCCAAAGTTTTTTACGTGACCTCTAAAACATTAGTAGTGTGTCTTGTATGTATTGGAGACTAATGGTAGGTCATTTCATTGTACAGAAAGAAAACATTGAAAACCAAGTTCATATTTATTTCTTTTAAGATTTATTTCATTTATTTATGCATTCAAGAACTGGGGTATAAGCCAGAGGTGCGGGGAGGGTGAAAAGGACTCATCAGAGACAGAGTGGGGAGCAGAACAAGCGGTTTGACTGAAATACATTGCTGAGGGGAGCAGCAGGCAAGACAGGAGATGTCTGCTGAGCCATGTGGGTCAGCTCCCCAGCAGGAGATCAAACTCATGCTGCAGTGGCTGCTGATAGCTTCATAGAGCTGACTTAACCCTTTGTGCCACCAGGGAGGCCCCCAAGCTCATGTTTATACCCTTAATTCCACATGCACTTCCCCCTAAGGTCTGTTGACATTTTGGTTCATTGTACTCCGTGTGTATTTATTTTAGATGCTTAAGAAACATATCCAGACTTACGTGATGAGAGCCTCGTCCCCCTCTGACCCCTATCATTAACCACAGGTTTACAAGCAGAAGAAAATGACAAAACACCCCTGTTTTGATGAGAGACAAGAGCTGTGATAATCCCACATGATGAAAATGTTAATGTCAGGACAAGGGACAAGGGATAAGCTCCTGGTCTGTGCATGAAGCAGGCAAACTACTGTAGTTCTCAAGTCTTCTAGTATTGTCTTTGTGCGTGTCTTTCACTATTTCCTGATACTCCTTTCAATATATCTGCTCATCATCCATACAGGAATGCATTCCTCCTGGATAGTGCTGCTCTTTTGGAGGGATTCTGCCA